CAAAATGCTAGCTGCCTAAAAGAAATCTAATACAGAAGTTGTTGATTAGTATTTTTTGCATGCAGTTACAGTCCTTCACCACAAAGTGGCCATAGAGGCCTGTAGAAACTGATTTTAAAAGACTGTTTTCTGTACCTGAGATGATTTTTGACCTTTTTAAAGTGGAACTTTTAATTTTTAAGGTGAACAATGACTGGTGCCATGGGCTTTGTAATACATGATAACTTTGTGATATTCATTAAAAACATAATGAATAATATGCTAGCTGTCAGGGGAATTCCACTAATATTTCAAAATTTCTTCACAATTAAATGGTTAAAATGTAAAGTCATTCAGAGTGGTTTGAAATGCACCGTTCTTGAGAAACAAGTCAGAATTATTCACACTAGTGTCGATAGGAAGCAATGTCTGAAAAGTGTAATGCCTCACACACTTTTACATGAAATGGTTATAAATATGCTACCTGATGCCTGAGATAATGTTTTAAGATACATATGAGAAGGTTTTGGTCTTAAAAATGCAGAGGACATAGGCAGAGGGGTAAATGCAGGATGTTATAAGGAAAATAGTATGCAAAGAAAACGTTACTACTATTTTACCATCGTCAACATTGCATATAAAAACTTAAAAGACGTGTAGGTTCACTGTTGGTTTTGGATAGTAAACAAAATGGCTATATTTGTGTTTTAGATGTCACAACCCCTAATTCATTTCACCCCCACTGTAAAGAAAACTGACTTGGTCATTTTCTCTGCAATTAATTATTTTGCATCAAACTACTCTGGATGACTTTGTTTACAACCCAACCCTTAAATTATGCTGAATTTTTGGGAATATGGTGGAATTCCCCTTTAAACTCAGCCGCACACTAAAACTTGCAACAACCTCTACCGTCTAATATAACATTTTATATCTGCTAGCTCAGCTAATCCCCCAATAAACGTCATGACAAAGATTTGATAAGTACTTTTTATTCCCTCCCCATAAGAATAGCCACACTTATAATAATGATTTTCCCCTATTTTGCAGTCACGCCTCACACATGGATGAGATGGATGATCAGTTTACAAATATCTTACGGGTACACAGCCAGTCGGGAATGCAGTAGTACTGAATATAAAAAGTATTATACTATTCATTCCTGACTTTTCAATATCATAACAAAAAGTTAAAAAATATGTCCCCAAGACTAAATACAGGTATGATATTCCACAATAGTTTACAATACAGTATGTACAACTTCACATACAGTGGTCATGCTTGCGTCGAAACGATAAGTAAAATACATAAGCAGTATGCACATAATGTCTCATAATGGAAACATATTGAGTTGTATATGCTTTAAAGCAGCTTAGCTCATAACCGTGGACAGTATAAAATAAAAAGCTTCAAAGCTTTTACGATTTTATTCATGGTAAACAAAGTTAGCCTTAAAATCAAAAAGTTCTTTTTTTAACCTTCATTTGTATTTACAGATAACAGAAGGTGTTTACACATTTGCAGTGTCACATTTCATAAGGGGATATGACAGGCAGCAGGAGTGAGGCGTGAAGTCTTTCATACTTCAACTGATGTCCACTTGGGAAGAAATAATAGTAATAATAATAATAAGCATGTTTTAGTATCACAGAATAACAAAAAAATTACATTAAAATAAAAGCATGAAGGGCTTAATAACATTAGAGCTTTCTGCACCACGCCCGACATTTAGAAACTACATCTACCTCTGAAATTCTCAGCAATTCACAATCGGACTACCCTGACACACGAAGAGAAACCACAGATGATGGCTAGGTCATCTATAAAATATTCTCATAAAAATAGATTTATACATTATATTAATTTTGACCAATGTACAAAAACAATAATGGAACACTGAGTGGGTGACACGTTGATATCAGTTTATCTACAGTGTTTATAATACGGCTTGGACTGCTGCGGCATGCGCATACTTCTGCTACATCCCACAAAGCACTCGATTCAATTTTCCCTGCCTTCAGAATGCTCTTAAAGGGGAACTCCACCAATTTCTGAAATTTTCTGCTTAATTAAATCATTCATTTGTAATCAGAGTCATTCAGAGCGGTTTGGTTATAGAGAAACTGAACCAGAATAATACCTCCAGAATTGCATACATGAAATGGTTATGATTATGCTGCCTGATGCCTGAGACATTGTTTTACAGTAGTCTAACAGGAAGATTTTGGCCAAAAATGTATTTTACATTGAAGGCGGAGAGGTACGCTGTACGGCAAAATCATCCCCCCAGTTTTTTTTAATCACTATTTTACCTTCATCAACATAAAAACTTTAAAGACTTGTGTAGGAAATCAGAACTACATTTGAGTTGTAGACATGGCCCCTGGTTCCTATCACTGCCCCCCCGTAAAGAACTCTGAGCCAGTAAGTTTCTCTGTAATGCAGCATTTTATATCAAACCACTCTGAATGACAATTCCAGAAACTGAGAAAAATTGGTGGAATCCCCCTTTAATGATTCACATGTACTATAGTCTTCATAGGTGTTGCCACCAAGACAGTTCTTCACAATTCTTTGAACCATGTTCTGATATCTGTACCTGTTAATCAGATCCTACAGTATGTTCATACTGACTGTCCTGCTTCACATCTGAGCAGATTGATGATGAGAATTTAACGTCCACTAAACCAAACCTAACATGCATGCTAGGACTGTTATGGATTGTTAAAGCTAGACAGAGGCAGAATTTGGAAGTGCTAATCTTAAAACATGTGTAGCATTGATTTTAATACAACCTTACAGTTGATGTGCCAGGGACGTGGGAAGACCTTTTAAACTGGGGGTGGTGAATTTTGAAGCAGCATTAATCTTACAAAATACTATGCCAAATAATGTTGCTTCCATTTAACTGAATTTACAAAATAGGGCATATCTTGAGAAATATTAAGATTGCAATTGCTATAATGAGAGATAGACATCTCACAGCAAGTACAACATGTCATATTGGTGACTTAAGCTAACTTATTGTGTCTGTGACTTAAGCTAACATGCTGTATTGGTAATACAGCTAAGTTACAGGTACAGAGAGTCAGGTTAAGGTAACTAAGTCGTCAGTGCTATATTGCTGACCTACCTAAGCTAACTTGTTACATCAGTGACTTGGCAAACTTAAGGTAATGTGCTGTATTTAGCAATGCAGCTAAGTCACAAATACACAAGTTAGCTTAAGTTAGCATAGAGACCCCACCCACCTACTGCTAGAATGAGGAGTATCCCCCAGTATCACCCTCTATTGGTCAGTTCAGGTTTTCCGTAGCTTATCCTTTTGCTTAAAACAGCGTATTGTGTATACAGTGAGATTAAGTTTGTCCTCTGCAGGCACCCTTACTCCGTATACATAACTTTAGTTATCATGGCAGCAAATTTTTAACCTCAGATCGAAGAAAGCTGGGAAGACTTTTAAACAGAGAAAGGAAATGCTGTGTGTTCCTGCATTTTTAGCTTAAGTTGGCTAAATCACCAATACAGCGTTAGCTTAAGTTAGCAAAGTCACTAATATAGCAAGTTAGCTTGGGTTAGCGAAGTCAACAAACAAAACAGCCAAAGTTAGCTAAGTCACCAATACAGCAAATTAGCTAAGTCGCTAATGCAGCAAGTTAGCGTAAGTTAGCTAAGTCACTAATATAGCAAATTGGCTTGGGTTAGCGAAGTCAACAAGCAAAACAGCCTAAGTTAGCTAAGTCCCAGATACAGCAGGTTAACTAAGTCTCTGATCGAGCAAGTTAGCCAAAATAGCTAAGTCACCAAGCCAATTAGCTTAAGTTAGCTAAGTCACAGATAGAGCAAAGTTAGCTTAAGTTAGCTAAATCACCATGCAAATTAGCTTAAGTTAGCTAAGTCACTGATATAGCTAACACAAGCTAACTTGCTGTCACCATGCAAACTAGCTTTCGTAAATTTGTAAAAAATGAGCCTCAATACAGTAAGTTGAGTCTTATATATAGCAAGTTAGCTTGAAGTCAAAAGACTGCACCAACCACAAATGGCGACGACAAATCTGTTGCTGAAAATACAGAAATGTATAACTAGAACAAAAAAATACAGACTTTCTCCTACAGCTGACATACATGAGCCTACACTATGCTGAAAACAGTACATTTCAAAGTTATTTTTAATAATTACTTTTAGCAGCTGCTGCATTAACCTCAGCATGTGCACTTCCCATGTCCCTGTGATGTACAGGAAAATTGGATTGGTGAGTTTCCTATTACTTCAATACAAATAAGACGGGACTGTATGTTAAATCAGCTTTAGCCCTGGCTCAATTACAGCAATGATTGAAAAATGCAATACAAAAGCGTACTTACGAGGTGACGTGATGGTGTTATCACAAACAAACAAGTACAAGCATACCTGTAGAATAAACTCAAACTACAGCCAACACCCTTTCATTCGCCATCAGATTCCAAATCTGCTGTGCTAGCAGCAATGGTTATAATATAGGTGGCTCAAATGCAATGCATGTACTACAATGCCCTTATGTAAGAGTCCTGTACTGCTAAACAAAAGGCTTGATTTTGCACATTGTCTATATAAATGAGAATGGTTAGTCACCTCTCAGGCAGAAGGCTCACTGGCTGAATCCTGAAGGCACCTCGGATTGAGCCTTTTAACAAATGAACGCAATCCTTCTTTCTTCAGATCGCTAAAATGTTCCACAATCATCAGCCTAGGCAGGTTAATTACTTTTTAGCTTATCTTGGAGCCTCGTCATAATACAATTCTTCTGCAAAACGCAAGCATGTAAGACCAAGAGGTGTTTGGCAATGTATACGCACATTAACAGATAAGTCTGCAAGCTTGGACAATTAAAAAAAATACTTTGTTGTTTGAACTTAATTTCGCCACACATTCCCATTTAGAGTCAGCAGACGGACTTTGTTACCTCAACATAAAGCCAAATTGCAATTAGTATTGATATATTTTTATATATAGTAATATATTTTCAGTTTTTAAGTCATTTTTTATGAGTGCAGAAGAAGGAAAGCAGCACTGAAGTTGGACTTAATTTTGTTTTTCAAGATGCTCTTACAGTGCATGCCTCAGTTTCCCTCTGAAATACTGATACAATCCAACGTCATTGCAAAATAAAATCTCTGTCTCGTATATTCTGTGAAGCAAATAAGATTCATATAGAGTGGCATTTAGTCATTCAGGAACACTGCGCGCAAGAATTGCTTTGAAAGATTGTAGGATTGACATAAGCAATATAATCAGACATGAAATACAAAAAAATATAAATGTAAAAATGAAAACAAACTGGCAATTATGAAGGTCTCAAATTTAACGAAAGTTAAAAAATCAAGAATAAATGCTTTGTTCACACATGATTTAGCGATTAAATATGTAAAGGACTCTTCAAACGCCCAACCACAATAGAAAGTATTGACGAGCTATTCAGTATGTACAGTCTGGTTCATTTCTCAGCTTTGAACGCGAAACCACCGCCGAGTTTTCCGGCTCGCTCTGATCGAGTCTGAAGGAGTCCGTACATTCTGACCACAGCGGGGTTAGATGAACCATTCTTTCTTGCTCTCATCGATGGTCTCTGTAAAGTTGGGGTCGGTTCCGATGATGGCCGTGTCAGCCGATTCGGAGGACTCTCCACCTTTGGCCTCATTGGTGTGGTAGGTGCCTTTGTGGCGGAACATGTAGCGGATCAGGAACACCAGGGTGCACAGGATGGTGAAGATCACCACAGCAATAATGCCTAAAAACAAGAAGGATAGATGACATCAGTCACCCATTCGTTGTATGTGTGTCTCCTGTGAAGGGGAATTCCACAGATTTTTCAAAATTTCTGCATAATTAAAACATTAAGATGTATACAGGGTCTATCAGAGTGCTCCATTCTAGACAGACTCAGAGTCAGAGTCAGAACTGATCACAGGGGCGGTGGAAAGAGCCAGACATCTGAAAAATGTACTGTCTCTAAAAGCTCCCTCACAGAAAGCTTTTACTCTACATGGTTACAAATATGCTGCCTGAGGCATTACGACACTTGTTTACAACAGTTCAGAGAAAAGCTTTTGGCCTGAAACATATTTTTAAAAATACTTTACTGGTGCAGAGCTACATGCAGATTGTTGTAAGGCAAATTAGTCCACTATTTAACCTCATCAGCATTACTTATAAAAAAAAACTCAGACACATGTAGGTTCACTGGTGGTTTTGGATAGTAATTAAAATGTCTGCATTTGTGCTGTAGACATTATGACCCCTGGCTCCCATCACCACCACTGTAAAAAAATCTGAGACTGTACATTTCTTTATAATGAACGATTTTACCTCAAACCACTGTGAATGACTTTGTTTACAGCTCAATCCCTAATTTATTCTCATCTCAAAGTGTAATTTTTAAACATCAGTGGAACTGTTTTTATTTAACTGATTAAACATTGCTCCCCAGTGTAACATGCAAATCCGTGTTGGTCAGTAAAAAGGATCAGCATGTGGTATTTTGTGTGCTACCATGTTTTCTGTCACTTTATAAAAGAAGCTGCTTCAGAGAATTTATAGTGAGGAGAGCTGCCACTCAATAACTCGCCCCTGAGCAAGTCCAAAATGAATGGGTTCCAATGGAGCTTTTGTGCAAAATTGTAGTTTGTAAATTCTTAAATATGCTTGTGTTTTATCAACACAGAGCAGCATAAACTAGTTCAGCACTGCTGTTACATTACTGAGTGCTTTTTGCTTTTCTAACAACGCCTTTTGTATCATGTATGTTCATGACATCACTAAGCACAAACAACTTTAGTCAGACAATGACCTGCTTAGCTCACCAACCAATCAGCACTCAGCAGCAGTAACAGCAACCAATCAGCACTCAGCGTCAGTAATGATAACCAATCAGCAGCAGCAGGAATACATAAATAATGATTTTAGTATTAAAATCCTGGCACCTTAAACAGTTAACTGAGTACTCGAGTACCTGTGTACATCCTTAAGTCAACCAGTCAACACTTAGCAGCAGTAATGCAAGCATCCTACTTCCCAAAAACTGTCTGCTGTAGAAAAAATGGAAAATGCTGGTATGTTTTCTTAGATTTTTTAATGGAATATATCCTTCTACTTTCCAAAATACATAAATGACTAGAAAATGCCCTCTGGCGATCCACGTATAAGGGTATAAAGTGAAGGGTATAAAGAAGTCAGTCTTCTCATGAACTGGCTTTGGTTCCATGCTGCTTTTATTGTTGGACGCACTGTGATTTGTTTCTGAACTAATCCAATGTGGACTTAAATATTACAAACTATTAACTAACCAAGTATTTTAGATTTTATTCAATATCTTTGTGAACAAGAAATGGACGAAATTATAATATTCTGTAATTACCTATTTAGATTAATTTTTGGTCAAGTTTGGAAGTTAATATGGATGTTCTCTTGATGTTCTACAGCTTTCTCAGTCATTTTAGAAACTTTCACAGCTCTATCATTCTGGACACATCTAATAGTAATTTTCATTTATAGCTTGCTAGAGTCTTGCTTTTTGTTTGATGAGCCTATTGGAGTCATTTTATACATTTATCTACAATCAATTTGGTTTCATTTTAATAAAAACATTGAACATCAACTTTTGAACAGCCATTTTTAAACTTTTTCAGAGCTAGTGTAGATTATTACACAATTACAGTTATGACGTGAAACACAGTTATATTTGATTTACATTCTGTACCTAAATAGTTGTTTGTTTTGATCTCGATAAATGACAAAAAGGTGGAAACAATGTAAAGGATGTTTTTTTCTTCTTGCAGAACAATAATTTTTTGTTATTAAAATTATAATAAAATACCTCTTCTACTTACAAACACGTAGTATGAATTGAACAATGAGTGAGAAATTATTCATATCAAATTACAGCCTGCTTTTTTTACTTATTATTCTTTAACATATTATTAGTGTTAAAACTTTGCTTCTCTCTGTGAAAGTAGGTAACAATCTGAAAAACAGAGATGTCTCAATTCTTCCTACCTCCAATTATTGCTGAGTTCCTGTTGACCCCATCTGGTATGACTCGCTCCTCATTGAAAGGGAAATCAGCACCTGAAAGAAGCAATGCTGCAGGTTGTTATCTCCTCAAACAAATTTAAACATTACCGTCAGCTTCTGAGTCTCAGCACTGGATCTTAATATTACTGTACTGAGACTAAAACAACAAACTGATGAAATATTGAAATAATAGCAGCTTTGAATATGTTGCACCTGAATACTGAACATCATCAATGTCCAACTGATGAATAAAATGATTCTGTTAATCCGGTTCTTTTCAGTCAACTGGTTGAACTAATTTAAAAGTGAATCTTCCAGGCCTTTACTCAATGTTTGTTCATTACAACCTGAAGACGTTTCTAATAAAATTCAAAGCTCATAAAATCTTAAGATTGAATCAACACAGTAACATATCAAGAGACATTTCTTTGCGCTGGTTAACCTTCAGTTAACTGAAGTGGACAATTCAAAAGAATCAGTTTGGTATCACTGGTGTCACTGAACTGATAAAAACAGTTCCTGGTAACTGAAATGCATTAAGAGAAGAAGTAACAGATAAATTCTGCACTTCCATGAAATCTTTGAAAAGGTGACAACAATACCCAAGATTCAAACACCACACGGTGCTATGTTTGTTACAATTATTCATTGTAGTTGTTGCAGTAATTAAAAAATCATCTGACAAATAGTAAAAATCATGGATTGTGACTGAAATAGCACTAATATATCAAAAGAAGCATAGAGCTTCTTTTTTTCTGAGCATAGAAAACCGACGACTGGAGAACAATCCTTTTCTACACCCACCGTTCACTTTATTAGAAAAACCTACCGTGTATTTTCCATTACAGGCCACTTTTATTAGAAACACCAGCCTTGTTCTTCCACTCACTGGCCACTTTTTTAGAAACACCTACCTTATATGTCCACTAACTGGCCACTCTATTAGAAACACCAACTTTGTACTTCCACCCACTGGCCACTTTATTAGAAACACCTACCTTGTTCTTCCTCTAATTGGTCACTTTATTAGAAACACCAACCTTGTATGTCTATTTACTGGCCACTTGATCAGCACCCATTCATCATTGGTCAGTTTCTGACCACAGAAACACTGTTGACCAGATATTATGATGGTGGTGGGCCATTCTCAGCACAGTGTTCTTGTTTTTCTTTCCATCCTTATTGTTTTCTATAACCTTCACTAGATGCATTGAAAGACTAGTGCTGAGCAAACTGAGTACATTCCTCATATATGAGGAAAATGTCAGTTTTTATTAGAGATCAGAGTGGATTGTAGGCTGCATTACTTTTTTTTAACAGTTCAGTCTAACACTGCTTTTTGAGTTGCACTTTTCAGAGACTTCTAAAATTTTCTCCAAAGGTAATATAGCATTACAGGCAGTGAATCGCCTCAGTGGGACTGTTTGCTTAGCTGGAATTTCTGCTTAACTGTGGACATCAAAAAAGCTGCGGCACTCGGCTGGAGCTTATATTGGAGTTGTAAAAGCTGGGCTGCTTGCTAAACTTCTAGGAACCACTTCAATGCAGACAATTTTGGGGGAGAGCTAAAGATATGTAAGGCAGAAATCAATTTCGCATGCAATCTTCAGGGAAAACTACTGCTCTGAAAAAAAAACAGTTGAATCAAACGGTCAGTTCGGATGTGTTCCAGCTTTGAGAAGGCAAAATTCAGCCTTTTATAAAGGCCGTGTTCGAGGTGTAGACTAAGCTGACATTCTACATGCTAATTCAAGCAATTCTCTACAGCAAAATGATTCCCTCTATTCCAGTTATAAATTGCTGATTTTAAATCATCAAAAATAACCTAATCAAACCCAATCTATGAAAAATAATCCATTAAATTATTATTCAATTGTACAGAGTAGGAGCAGTTGGTCTTGCAAAGTCATTAACACTCAATCAATTTTTAAGATGTCTCAAATGTTTTAAAATGAACTGGCTGAACCCCAATTTTCAAATGATCAATAAAATGAGATTTTCAACAGGCCAACTAAAAAAAAAAATCAATTAAAGTCTGTTACACTTGGATTTGTTTTCCCAGAGGGAGTTGTCCAGATTTGATTGGCTGATTGGTTTGGGATAAAATATCTGTGTAATTTCCCCCAATCTTGCAGACTGAAAGGTTATTGCCTGGATATTCACATCAGTGTTACACCTCAGGGCACATTAAATAACAGTAACAACACTGTGCATGGCCGTGTCTATTAGCAGGTTATGTTCTTCTGTTAGCTGTACTGTAAAATAAATATTACCATAATATTACTGTCAGGCTGTAAAAACACCACAAACTGTAGATTCATACTGAATTAAAATCATGCCATGATTATTATTGTCAGACTGTAAAAACTGCCCTCATGCCAGATTCATACTGGATTAATATTATTCCACAATTATTACTGGCAGACTGTAAAACTACACACACTGCAGATCCATACTGGATTAAAATCACAGATCTTGTTGCTAAACACAAAGAACCTCTCCTACTAAAATCCAGCTTCAACAGAATGTAATACATGCACTGTCAGGTTTTGAGCTTCTCTTTATAATAAACTGTGAAGCTATTGTTAAATTAGGCTAATACCTCCATCCAGGTGCCAGGGGTCAGTGGCAGCGGACATTGGTGGAATGGTCAGTGGTGATGCTCCGCAGTTGGACTCCACGAGCTTGCCCTGGTGTGAGACTGGTGCTGGAGCCTGCGTCCTGAGGGCAGCTTTCAGTGGAGCGATGGAGTTAAACTGCACTCTGGACAGACAGCCTACAAACCCTGGAGTGTTGTATTTCTCAATCAGCACAGGATCAATCTGACCTGTCTCTGCAGAAAGGAGAGAAAAGGTAGAATCAAAAATCCATTAAAAGAATTAGACCGCTGTCTTTTGAATGATAAGTTTCATCCTTTTCTGCTGAGCTCTTGCTGTAAAGACAGAGAGGTTGAAAAATAGTAGCTTAAAAATTAACTATAACTGTTTTTGGCACAGAGACCCTCACAATGTCATAAGTTGACCTGGAATAATGTAGGATCTGGCCCTTTAAAATCAAAGACAAACTGAATAGAATCGTTATACACCTACTTGCATTCATCAACATACATATTTCATATCAATTATTAATAGAATTTTAATACCCTTCTCAAAGTCAAGACTCTGCAATCCAATAAAGAGTATAATTTAGAAAGGTGATATGATATTAGGCTGCAGAATTCATATTCGTTATTGCAGGATTTTGACTGTAAAATATAAAAAATATAATTAAAATCTTTATTAGCTTCTGTCTATTATTATCTTCACATATCCAATTAGCAGAGTAAAGAATCATAAAAAAGTTAATCCAGAGAATTTTAATAAGCCTCTCTCTGCAATATCGCATCTCTTGCTCTCTCTCTCTCGCTGCCTTTCTCTCTCACTCTCTTTCTCATATATATTATACATTGTATCAACTTCTAGATACAGTAACACTTATATTCACAGCTTCCAAACTGTATAAATTCACTGATACCCAAATAGTACATTTTTAATGTTAAAATCATTAGCAACAACAGCAGTTTATCCAGTGTAGATGTCCTTTACTGTGATATATTCCTCTGATAGTCATATTATTACTTATTACAGAATCAGGAATTAGATTTTTTTACTTCATTTGAAATTTAAACAGCTAAACACTTTCATACACTGTTAAATACACATACAAACACAAGAAAGGGAGAGACAGTAATGAGGTGGCAGAATAAAAAGTCTCTTGTAGTATAATCTGCAAGATGAGACTCAGGAGTAAACAAGGAGATTGGGTAATAATTTTAACACATCTTTGTCACAAACGACAGAGAAACTTAAATTTTGCCCCTCCAGTGGCCATCATCCCTCTGTTTTGTTTTGATTTTGTTTGTGTACAGCTCGCTCAAATCAATAAAATTTCACATAAATCAGTACACCACAACCCACAGTCTGAACACGTCACTTAGGAATGCAATAAAACAAAAAGGGAAAAACAAATTTGAGCGAGACAGAATTTAGTGTTAACTGTCCACAGCATATGGGGAAACTAAATATTAAAATATAAAGTGTGCCACAACTTTTGCACATGCAACATGTCTTTTTTTTTCCCCCCAATGTGTTAAATTCAGTAAATAAATGGCAAATGCTGGGTTTAAACCTGCTGTGTGATGAGTGTAAAATATACACAAATTTTTACATAAAAAAAAAGGTTTTTGTAAATTAATTTGGTTTTAAGGTTTTTTAATATCCATCAAAATGCAAAATGTTAGTAATTCTGCCTCTAGATGTACCGTCCTTTTACTCTGTATAATGTGATTACTTTCATGGTTCTGCAAGATGCAGTTTGAATCTCAGCATCCACTTAACGATTCCGCTGACCGGGAATGATTCGTGTTAATATAAATCCATCCCGAGCTGGCACTTTTTTCCTCCCTCTGAAGTAATCACGTCTATCAGGCTGGGAATGAATACACTGCGTGACCTGATAGCCAAGTGCTCAGCATCTCGCTTAGTTCCAGGAAATGTACCGCATGTCTGAACCACACTGCAGCATGCAGGCTATCTCTTAGCCCGGTATCAGGTTCGGTGGCCTGCATTGACCCTGCGGTGGATTAGAGTCATCAGGTTATGCTTCCTATATTGATCGAGTAGCTTATGGATTTGAGCAGTAAGAGGCTTTATATGGCAGCGATTTCAGGAAATAAGTCTAGTTTATGACCTTCAGACATCTGATAATGGCCTGGATGTACATAGTTTACAGTTACATTCTTCATTCAGCCTGCAGAAAGTTTCCTCCTAACTTATCTATACACATTGTCATTCTAAAGCTTGGAGTGACTGTTTTTAATAATATTGTTTGCACTTTGTTATATGAATGCACACAATTATTCTAATCTGATACTGCTAATGCATAAAAATTATAACTTGACAAGTGAAATCATCTAAAAAATATCCAATCCAAGAAAATATCTAATCTTTTTCATAATAAACATAAGATTAATCAACCTTTTTCTTATTTTATCTAATGAAATTACAAATCTTATTCAGCTGGCAGATATTTTGGCTTGTTTTAAGCATTATTTCAGGCAAGCATACAGTCATCTGTGTAAAGACAACTCAACGCTATGAATCTGAAAGGATGTGAAGCTGTCAAGAAGCCCTCACTAAGAAAACGAAACAGATACATCAAACAAAGAAGCTGCTGGTGTTCTCAGAACAATGGATTGACCACCCCAGAATCCAGAACTCAACAATGTGAATTCTTATTGTTCCCCAAAACCTGAACTACTACAAAAAACATCTAAAAATACCATCAGTACCATGTCTAGTTTTTAATATTTCAGTAAGTGCTAAATAAGGTAGTAGTGAGTTGTTGTTGAATAAAATAGCAGTGACAAAAAATATGAGACCACGTTCAAATTGCTTGGCCTGAAGTGACCACACCTTTAGAGCATTTATCATGCTAAACTACTCACCTATTTATCACAGCAGATACTTTTATTATCCACTTCATTATCTACTTTTATTATTTTGTTATGTCAGCTATGGTACATTCGGAACACTGCAGATTAAAATGCAGTCGGTGCTAGCCTGAGGCAATCACAGAGTGAGCTGCAGGCTGTTTCACCAAGCTGTTCCCAAGTCTCTGTCTAGAAGCTTTAGTACAAAAATAATCTGTATGTGAGGTTTGACAGCACCAGTACCAGAGTTTTTTCCTCCACAGTTAAATGCATTGGCTCCATACACTGTACAGCTGTCATTAATCCAGGTTCCGGACAGCTTTAACATTAAAACAAAGTAATGCTACTGATGTTCGCCTGAACAGTATGCTCAATCTCAGCTTTCCACCCCCAACCTGCCAGACAAAACACTTTCATTTTATTCTGGAGGATGGCTCTGAATACCAACGCCCCTCTCAGGCTTCCCACTGCAGGCTGATATGGATTCTACAGTCTGATCTGCAGTGCTTCTAGATCTCAGAAGGCTATTGTTTCTGTTAATGCTGATACAGCAGCTCAGCTTGTGTAGGTCAGTCCAGTAGTGGCACCAGGACTGTTGTTTGGATGGGCACCGGGCCCGGATCATCCAGGGGGTTTTCTGGGCGCGTGCCCAGGGGCCTAAGCCACTAGGGGGCAATTATGAAAAAAACCTAAACAGCTGTTTTGACTCATGGTGGGAACTTTACTAGTGGCACATGAACTAATTTGTCAGTGTGTTACAGCCAATCATAGTCCTGATGCTCTTGGCGTCATTCCTAAACGTCTGCTTCATTTTCTTCTCCAGTCACTGCTTAGCAACTGTTACACTATCCACCGTTACCTCGGTCAAGTTTTCAGGTTGTTTAGCAGTGAGATAAAGTTAGTTCCTTTGAATGTACCTTGAATTTGAAGCTTCAGAAATTTAAAAGATGTGCCAGGGTATCTGTAAAAGCGGGACCTGGAACATTGATAGAGTAGAAGATAGGGTTGGGCCGGTAGACGATGCCATCATCCATTGTCGATGGCTGACCAACATCATGATGTTGAGCCATCATTGTAAAGCCACATACCATCCCACCCCCGCCCCCAGATCCGTACGGTCCCCACCGACAGCGGGGATGCTATAGACAGAGGATCCTGTTTACAGCCTAACGTTACACCAATTATTCATGGTAATAAAGTCATTTAAACTTTGTGTTGACACTGACAGTCAGATACAGTCATAAAACTGTAAAGTATTCCCTTTTCACAGTAATGTCTAATGTGGAAATCTGCTTTTTAAATGAATGTTTCAGTAATGCTCCTTGTATGGTCACCATGGTAGCTAGATATATTAGCATCAAGCTAGCTGAGTTAGCGTGGCGCTCTTTGGGATTTTTATGTCAGCTCAAGTTATATTTGAACATTTTTAGCTCGTAACAGGCATATAAGTAATGTTCTTTACTTTGTATATCTCTGTTTTTAGGTCATGCTTTATTTGAAGGCCTAAACCTGAAGTCTGTCTTTTATTGTTGTAGTGTTTGCCTGTTAGTCTGCTAGGTTTCTGTTACCTGTTCAGCCTACTAGTGAGGACAGAATGTATCCAGTTATAAAGAGAATTCAACATGTAAAAAAGTTAATGTGAGTCTGGTAGGAGCAGACAGCTGGCAGCTATTTAGGCTTGTAACATTGCTGTTCTTGCCATAATTAAATTTTTGTTCAGCTGTATTGGCAGCCACAAACTTTTTCTCAGAATGCCTGGACAGAGACGTCTAATTAGACAAAACATTAACTTAAAAAATAAGCACACTTTCTTTGACTTTGCTAAAAACAGTAAGGAATGACACATCCATTTCCCAGTGGAATATTTCAGCCATAATCATGAAACCCAGTGGTCACGCGAAAAACAAGGTGGATGTGGAGTAAAGACAGTAGAGTAAAGAGGACAGTAAGAAAAGAGAGGGTGAGTAGGGAGGATGGGCTGTGAAAGGGCTCAAATGTGAATGACACCAAAATCAAAAATGTAATTTCAGACATGTCACATGCATTTTTATTTGTGTTTTGTTTTATATATTTCTAAGATTTTCATTATTGAAAGTCTGAGTCATTTTGGGTGGCCAGTGACAAAAGCAGGTAGTCCTATAGGTCTGCTGTACCCAGTCATACCAGTGGTTCAGTCTGACTCTGTAATTAGCTTAATTAAAATGTGTGAGGTCTCTCAGTCTTATTTCTGTGCAATTTACTTGATTCCATGTAGATTTCCATGGCAATGCATATTAATAAACATCTATGCAAATGTTTATTGGCTCAGCCAAACACAAGCTAAATTTCATTATATTAGTGGTGAAACAGTCTACAGCTCACTT